GTTCGGTCGGGTGGTTGGGGGGGGGGGGTTCTCTTCATCGTCGTTTTATGTGGAATGGCTGCTATTGGATAGGGCCGTGGATCAGTCCCGCTACCCGTGAAATATATATACAAGTATATATACAAGTATATATATAAGTATAGCAAACTCAGTCAAATAAATCACATAGAGGGTACCATTAGCAGAGCAGCGTGAAAGAGAGGAAATAAAAGTATCGTGTAAGACGGAAACCACGATACCAACTACTACCTGTGATCGGACGGTACCTATGTGGTGGGATACGTAGCAATGCGACCTTACAGAGTAGACATAGACAGGTAGAGCGTGCAAATGCTTGCTTATCCAGCCACAAAGCGACCAGCAGCAGGGTCACCGTCCTTCTTGGGTACTCCCTTACTTCCAGCATCCTTACTCGCGGTACCATCTCGCCGCGTCTTTGCGCCTTCCTTCAACGTCTCCCACCGCTCGCGATACCGGACCAAGACGCTCTTCAGTTTCTCGTTCTCCCTTCCCAGCCTCTCAATCTCTCTTCTACCGAAGGAAACATGTTCTTCCAGTTCCAGCATCCTTCGCTTCAGGCCTTCGTCCCCGCGACCAGGCAGTTCTCTCGCTGGACTCATATTTTGCGTCAAGCGAATGCTCTCCTGAAGCGCCATACTGTTTTGCTGAGCAGACATCTCAAAGGCATGGAGTCGTTTACTGAGTTTATCGATGCAGTCTTTCAGGCTCTTGTTCTCCGTGTCCAGTTCCTCGACTTTGTGCTCAACTTCCCGGCTACTCAGCTTGCGTGCGAAGCTTCGCCTAGACGCTGATGGGGATGCGGGCATGGGTGTTTCCCTTGCATCCACGAAATCGTCATCATCGTTTGGATCAGCGAAAAGGTCGGCGTTCTCACTATGTATGGATGCTGCCATTCGTCGCTTCTCCTTTCGCTCGTAAGATACGATGGCTGCGTACGGAATTGTGCCGCCACCGGTAGGCACCACGTAGAATGAGTCATTCCCGGACTGACCGTCACGAGCCGACGCACGGAGTGCTGCGCGTGAGATGTATTTCGTGATGTCTGGATCCGAGCTGGACCTGTCGTTGCTCTGGGGACGTTGCTTGCCTTTGATCGGTTCGGGGGGTGGAGCTTGACCTTCCTCAGAAATCAAGGGCAGACCGGCGAATGCAAGAGGAGCGGAGAGCTTGGAGAGGAAGCTCTCGAAGGTATTGTAGAATCGGGAGAAGCCCTCGTCGCTCGCAGTTGGTACTTCTGCGACGACAGCTGATACTTGAGAATCCGACTTCTTTGAACCGACTACCGCAGGCGGAACCCAGCTTGGCTGAGAGATCTCGGGAATAGTAGCCGGAACCTTGGAGCGCTTGCCATCTCTACGAGGAAGAGCTTCTAATCCTCCAGCCGCTTGTTGAGTAGAGACACTTGGGGAGAGTGGCTGCCTAGCATAGTTGGCGCGTATTCCCCTCGCGGAAGCAAGATTACTCGCGATCGATGAGCTCAAGTCTCGGGGAGGCAGACGGCGAGGATGCGACAGACTTGGAGGGTTTCGAAGAGGCGAGGACGACCTCGGACTCGGACTCGGACCCGGAGCCAGACCCAGATCCGACTTGGAAGCTCGTAGCTCTGCGAGCGCCGCTGATGTCGAGAGCGGCTTCTCTGACACGGGCGGCACCTCTGTCTCGGCAGAATCTATCGCTGTTGTCGTTGTCGTTGTCGCTGTCGCTGTCGCTGTAGCAGGTGGGTTCTCGGACGGGTAGCGAAGGAGTTCAGAGAGCCGCTGGTGATGTTGCTCGAGTAGTCGGAGTGTCCGCAACGCCTCCGCACTGCCAGTACCAGCTGCAGCCCTTGCAAATTCCCCGGCTGCCAGCGCATGTTCGTTGATTGCCACCGTCGTATCCGAACTCTGGGTGGCCACGGAAGCAGCTCGGGCGTGGTCGTGGGCCTACAGCAACTGTTAGTAGAGGGGATGGGGGATGGGGGATGGCGTAGCTGGCATACACATACCAGAATCAGGGGCGAGGACTCCATGTTGGTGTTTGGTTTGTGTTGCGGTGGCCGAGTCCTGCCTGTGCGGCCGTTCCGACCAATGCTGGTTGTTTGTTTACTTTCCGGCGATATACTGCTTGTGGCCAAAAGTGAGGCTGTTGATGAGGTTGGGTTGGATTGGGTTGGGATGGGTTGACTTGTTAGAAACGGGGGCACCACGAGGCGTATGGAGTACGGTACCGAGAAGGGTTCGTTGACGCCAAGGAAGCCGAGTTACGGGAAGTCGGGAAGTCGGGAAGTCGGGAAGTCGGGAAGTCGGGAGTCGGGAGTCGGGAGTCGGAAGTCGGGAACAAAAGTCCAAGCGAGACTCGGGTTGATGTGGGGCTTAGCGTCACATCAGGGACCAGTGACGTGATGTGCGCACACACCTCAAGGAACTGGCACAGGAAATCTCAGGTTGAGTAGTTTGATCAACAAAGGTCCAGCCTTGTCCAATCCAATTCAGTACCGGTACAATAGCATACAATGCAATCCACCACAATGCAACACAACACATACCAACAACACATACCAACAACACATACCTACAACACAACAACTACAACACAATGCTTCGCAGACGATAACCGATAACCGATGACCGCACCGCACCGCACCTCACCTACACTCCCTCACTCACTGAACTCTCAACTCAACGCATCTCCCGCCATACCTACAAGGCTTATTATCACGAGTCCATCTCCCACTTCTCACCTCCCATATCCCAACTCACCCGCCTGTGCGCGGCAGGAGCCGTACCGGAGAGCAGCCGGACCTTGGCTTTGTTGACGACAAAGGACGTGAGCTCGGAATAATACCCAGTGCCTGGAGTGCGAATTTGCCCCGACGTTGTCCTACCTGCACTGTGTGCCCCAGAAATCTACAATACAAGACAATACAGTAATTGGCACTATAATACGACTTCACCTACTCGACCCTTTCTTCCAAACGACACCAACCTATCATGTCCTTCAGGATGGAGAGGTCAGAATCACCGCCCCGGACCAGCCTGACCCAGATCTTCTCCAAAGCCCGGCGCGATAAGAACCAGAGGGGCAAGGGCAAGGGCAAGGGCAAGGGTAAGGGCAAGGTGTCTGCGAGCAACTCTATCAACAGCGGCAACAGTGGATTGGAGGATCTGGACAACCTGAAGAAGGGCCACGAGGTGATAGAGCGAGACACAGACGCAGACGCCGACACAGATCCGGAAGCAGCGGACCCGTCGTCTAAGATCAAGAAGCTGGTCCCTCGGGTCCTTGGATCCAAGCGGCGCAGAAGGAAGCTGGAGATAGAGGAGCCGCGTGTCCGACAGGAAATGACCCGGGGGAGGATTGTCACCGACCGAGAGAAGCTGGAACACGATGCAGATGATGGAGAAGGGGATGGGACAGCCGCGGCCCTGGAGAGCCCCAGCAGCTTGCTTACCTATGATTCCGAATCGGGAAGTGAAAACGAGTCGTAAGTTTCCCAGTCATCATATATGTCAATTTGGCCCCCCCGTCCCCCTTTTCCCCCTTCAGTTTTCATTTCGTTTCTGCTTCTTTCTCCTTTCCCGTTCCTCGTTTTACGCCCGTATTCGCGTATCCTGGACTCCTCCGCTTGGTTCGGCGAAAGTCTGTGCGAGAGAGCCGCATTGCATGGCATACCATGGCATACTTAGATAAGTGGCTTTGACATACATACCCACCCGACCCTACCTCCATCGATCCTCGCGCTTCGTCCTTACAACACCTTACCACCTTACAACACAAAGCAACACGGCCCACTCCTCTATCCCAGCTCAAACCTTGCTCGCCTCATATTCTCATTCTCATCCGCACAAGCTCATTCGCACTATCACATCCCCATCCACGGATATCTTGGTTCATGCTTGCTTCCCAGCTCGCCTTTGCCCCAACTTCCCCGTCATACTTTACACAATTCATGCACTAGAGCGTTTCGTTTGTCTTCACATCTCGCGACCACGGGTGGACTTCCTCTCCGACCCCTCCCATCCCCTATTATTACGTGTGCCATTTGAAAACCATCTTGCTTTTTCATATTAACTAAGCCAACGCCCTCAGGCCAACCCTCACCGGAGCACCTCCTCCTCTCAGTACACGCTCTTCACACATTGGATATCTGACGACCTCCTCGCCGCTCGTACACTCCATCGCGCTGCCTGGGCCCGTGTTGTCGCAAGCCCAGCTGGACGGCCTGTCCCCTCGAGCCTCAACCATTCCCGACGCCGACGTCCTGGCTGCCTCCGCCTCCACCACGCCTCTCGACAACACTCTTCGGACCCCTGCCGACAGCTCTGGGAGAAGGTCCCCGTCACCGGTTGGCAGATTGAAACAAGCTCTCACTCCAAAGCGGGCTTCTAGTCCCAGCACAAGCCCGGAGCGGAAATCTGGAGGGGGTGGAGCGGGAACAGTGAAGGAGAAGGAGAAGGAAAAGGCTGTGGCAGAAAGGCGTGGAAGTGTTGCTGCGAGGATTGGCTTCCGCGCCCCCGAACGACCTCGAACCGTGGAGCTCCAGACCATAGACACGAACGCAGCACCTGCCACACCCCCATCAGGCGAGAAGTTAGCTCCTACAATTGTCAATACTCCCCCTACCCCAACCGATCCTGGCGTAACTCGGTTTGGTGGCCTTCACCAACGAACGTCATCAGATCCCATCACTTCAAATCTCAACGTGGTTTTGTCCCCGTCTGGGAACATGATATCGCACAGACGCGTACGATCAGGATCAGTAACAATAGGACCCAGCAAACTCTCTAACAATACATCTGCCCCTCTGACCCCAGCTACTGAGAATATTGCTGCGACATCAAGTGGTGGTGGGTTCTTTTCTTCCGTAATCTCTGCAGCCCAGAACGCGGCCAATACACTGAGTAATAGCATTGGAAATACTTCTACCAACCCTGGAAACAGAATCAAGAGTGGCACCCACGATTTAAACGAGATCAAAGAAGTCGACAGCCCAATCGTCGAGACCTTTGCTGACAAGACGGACTCGGTGGTTCCAACTGAAGAGAAGGAACTGGCTGTGAAGACCTTAGGAATGGGTGACCTCAGCCTGAGTGCTCTCGGTATATCTGAGAACAGCAGCGACACAAGTACACCTTTGGGAATGAAATATACGGAAGAGACAAAGGGGCGGCCCGAATCAGCCATAGAGGACTCGAACCGCTCTTCACCTGGTGCCACTGGGGACAGTGCAGAAACTGTGTCACCGACAGCCGTAGACGATGTCCATTCCCAGCCTCTGTTCCGACCTCGGTCAATGTATGAGCCTGGTGGTGTTGGAGGTGATCAGAGCCCGCCCAATGGAAGTGTTTTCGAAGGAAAGACGGGCCTTCATCGGAGCGGTAGCATTCGAACTGCTATCGGTAAGCACCGAAAGCGAGGAAGCTCAGCGGCTACGGGTACGACCAATGGACTTGCCATACATGCTGCCAATAATTCCATCACTGACCCGGCCTCAGGTTCCAAGATTACCGGATTTGCGGTAGCCAGCAAGAAGAGAAATCGGGATTTTCACCAACTGTTCAGAAGTGTACCAGATGACGATTACTTGATCGAAGATTACAGCTGTGCTTTACAGCGAGAAATTCTCGCTCATGGCCGGCTATACGTTTCTGAGGGCCATCTGTGTTTCAGCAGTAACATCTTCGGCTGGGTGACTACTTTGGTCATGAGTTTTGACGAGATTGTGTCTGTCGAGAAACGAAGCACAGCGATTCTGTTCAAAAATGGTCTCATGATCTCCACTTTACATGCGAAGAATATTTTTGCCAGCTTTACGAGCCGAGATTCGACTTATGATTTGATTGTCGGGATTTGGAAGTTGGGCCACCCAAGTCTAAGAAGTTCGCTGAACGGGGTACGAATCGAGGAGACTGGCGGTGGTGACAAGACCGAAAAAGATGATGGCAACGCCGCTCTTGAAATTCAGAGTGGTTCTGACATCGGGAGCAGTGATGGTGAGGAAGGAGATGAGATCTACGATGAGGATGACGATGACGCGGCCGGAATGAGCTTCATACAGCCTGAGGGAAGTGTTGCAGGAAGCGATGCTGGCGAGAGAGTTGTTAGCCGCAAGCCATCTGCGGCTGTGGTCACAGGGCCACTGGGAGAGAAGAAGGAAGATAGTCCGACGGGTCCCGGTACCGACTTCCCTGGCCCAGCGACCCACGCACCGACAGAATGTGGGGACCAGGATACCCATTATGCGAAGATCATCGGCGACGAAATTGTTCAAGCGCCCTTGGGCAAGGTTTACAGCTTCATGTTTGGGCCCGCTTCGATTACATGGATGCGAAATTTCCTGACAGTCGAGCAAAAGTGTTTGGAGCTGACGCTGGAGGATACGGGCAAGAAGCCGCTCTCTCTGGATAATAAGGTCCGACATTACTCGTACATCAAACCCTTGACTGGTTCGATCGGCCCCAAGCAAACAAAGTGCGTCTGCACAGAGACATTGGATTCGTTGGATCTTGAAAAGTCGGTTTCTGTAACGATCTCAACGCAAACCCCCGATGTACCCAGTGGAAACGTCTTTAGCACCAAGACGAGATACTGTCTTTCGTGGGCTGAAGGCAATGCTACGAGAATTCAGATAAATTGCGCTATTGAGTGGACGGGCAAGAGTTGGCTGAAGGGCAAGTACTATCAAACTGCTGCGGCGACATGGCTAACAGATCTCAGGGCCCATCGAGAAAGGTGCAAATGACGGTCAAGTGGTGTACGCCAAGGAAATCATCGGAGCGCTGAAATCCGCCGTGTCATCCCGCCGCGGCACAGTCACCGTTCCAGCCAGCAAAGGCAAGAAAAAAGGCCGTAGGAGCCGCGAAACGAAGGGCAATTCCAAACAGTCAGATGGTGCTTCAGACTCAAAACCAGACAAGGAGGACTGGGGATTGCTCGAACCATTGCATCCCATACTGGGCCCCGTCGTCGATATTCTATCACCACTCCTAGCGGGCAACATCCTCTACGGTATTTTCGTCGGCTTGCTAGTAGCCTCTTGGTTTCGTTTCGGGTTTTCTGGGAGGGGGTCTTCTGCAGGTCGAGATCCAGGAATGGTATATTTTGGGACGCCCGAAAGGATTGCCGCCTACGAAGAGATGTGGCGGAAGGAAGAAAGCGAATTGTGGGAGTGGCTTGAGGATCGCGCGGGCATGGACCGGCTCCGTGAGGTTTCCAGTATGCCTATCGAGGCGAAGATGGTTCAGGACAAGTTGAGGAACGAGAAGATGGAAGATCGTGAAATCGACGATGCGATTCGCGTTACGGAGGAAAAGTTGAAGGTCCTGAAAGCCAGCGTTGAGAAGAGGAAGGAGGCCAAGGGGAAAGTGGAGGATATCAAGAATTCCTAGGGTAGGAAAGAGTGGGGATGATCTTCTTTTGGAACTGTACTTCTGTTTTGTAATCTTTCGAGCGTGTAGATATTTAGCGGGCGTACTTGGGGGTGGCAGTAACCATTTTTGGCTGCGAGTCTGGTTTCGATCAGTTCATACATAGCCAGCGATGATCAGCATTTATCAATGCAGAAAAGGCTTCCTTTGGTATTTCGGTGTTTTTGCTGTGAGATCATGCTTTGAATCTGGTCGGGAAGGTGATTATCGGGTTTTCAATCGAATTCTTATCACATCACCTTTTTCTCTTCTTTTTGATAATGGCGTGTATAACGATCGAGCAAATGACATTTTCTTTATATATTCTACTACTTACTTGCTATCGCTTTTGTTTATGCTAGCTAGGTAGTCCAAGCCTTTGTAATTAAAGTCATGTTCGCATCCAAAACCGCAGCAGGACGATGGCATTATTTTTTATATCGATTTTGATCCGTTTTCTTGTAAGAGGGAAGGATCAGATAGACATATCATGAGGTTCTCCCCACACCCCCCCCC